GCAGACCCCAAAGCGCGGAAGGCCACGCGGGGCGCCCGTCCGGCACCTCCGGCACGCTCTGCCGACGTCTCGGCTGCCGCTGCCGCCGACTGCCCTGGGACTGGGGCCGCCTGCGGGCCTCCTTGAACCTCGGCGCCCTCCCCTCAGTCCTGTCCTCGGCGGCAGCAGCGACTCTCTCTTTTCCTGCTCCCCCGCCCCCCCCCCCGCCGACCCACTCCCCGCCGTCCCCACCAAGAACCCATCCCCTCCCACTCCTACTCGGAGCAGGAGAAGGAGGAGGAGGAGGAGGAGGAGGAGGGGGCCCGAGCGCCAAATACAGTAGGAGCTCGACCACAAGAAACCTTCCACGAGAAGCCCCACCCTTAGACCCCAGGACGTCCCTCGCTCTTTGGGTGTGGGAGCCCCAGCTGGAGGCGGCGGGGGTGCGGATCAGGGGAGGGATGGGAAAAAGAGGGATAATATTGCGAGAGCTGGAAACGCCCCAAAAATTATCCCGGCGAAGGGCCCAACCATGTGCAGCTGTGTGTAACGCAGGTGTGGGTATCGTCCTCGGTGAACCTCCCTCTGAGACCACGACGCGTGTGAAGGGTGTGCCAAAATTGGCACGGGTACGCCATGCGGACGCTGCCACAGGAGCCGTCGGTGCAGCCCCATCTGAGGCCACGAAACGCGTGAGGGGTGCGCCGAAATGCAGGGTGGAACCACGTGCGGGCGCTGCCACCAGGGCCTTTGGTGGCCGCGAAACGTGGAAGGGGTGCGCCGAAATGGAGGGGGAACTGCGTGCGGAACCTGCCACTGGGGCCCTAAGTGGAACACTCCATGGGGCCTCGAAACGTGTGAGGGGTGCGCCGACATGGAGGGGGAGCTGCATGCGGACTTGCCACGGGGGCCTTGAATGGAGCACCCTATGGAGTAACGAAACGTGTGAGGGGTGCGCCGAAATGGAGGTGGAACTGCATGCGGACCCTGTCACTGGAGCCTACGGCGGAGCACCGCATGGGGCCACGAAACGTGTGAGGGGTGCGCCGAAATGGGGATGGAACTGCATGCGGACCCTGCCACTGGGGCCTTCCGCGGAGCACCCTATGGGGCCACGAAACGTGTGAGAGGTGCGCCGAAATAAAGGTGGAACTGCATGCGGACCTTGCCACTGGGGCCTTCCGCGGAGCACCCTATGGGGCCACGACACGTGTGAGGGGTGCGCCGAAATGGGGGTGGAACTGCATGCGGGCCCTGCCACTGGGGTCATCGGCGGAACACACCATGGGGCCACGAAACGTGTGAAGGTGCGCCGACATGGGAGTGGAACTGCATGCGGACCCTGCCACTGGGGCCTTCGGCGGAGCACCCTATGGGGCCACGAAACGTGTGAGGGGTGCGCCGAGATGGGGGTGGAACTGCATGCGGACCCTGTCACGAGGGCCTTCGACGGAGCACCCTATGGGGCCACGAAATGTGTGAGGGGTGCGCCGAAATGGGGGTGGAACTGCATGCGGACCCTGCCACTGGGGCCTTCGGCGGAGCACCCTATGGAGCCACGGTACGTGTGAGGGGTGTGCCGAAATGGAAGTGGAACTGCATGCGGGCCCTGCCTCTGGGGCCTTGGGCGGAGCACCCTATAGGGCCACGAAACGTGTCAGGGGTGCGCCGAAATGGGGGTGGAACTGCATGCGGACCCTGCCACTGGGGCCTTCGGCGGAGCACCCTATCGGGCCACGAAACGTGTGAGGGGTGTGCCGAAATGGGGGTGGACTTGCATGCGGACCCTGCCACTGGGGCCTTGGGCGGAGCACCCTGTGGGGCCACGAAATGTGGAAGGGGTGCGCCGAAATGGAGGTGGAACTGCATGCGGACCCTGCCACTGGGGCCTTCCGCGGAGCACCCTATGGGGCCACGAAACGTGTGAGGGGTGCGCCGAAATGGGGATGGAACTGCATGCGGACCCTGCCACTGGGGCCATGGGTGGAGCACCCTATGGGGCCACGAAACGTGTGAGGAGTGCGCCGAAGTGGAGGTGGAACTGCATGCGGACCCTGCCACTGGGGCCTTGGGTGGAGCACCCTATGGGGCCACGCAACGTGTGAGGGGTGCGCCGACATGGGGGTGGAACTGCATGCGGACCCTGCCACTGGGGCCTTGGGTGGAGCACACTATGGGGCCACGAAACGTGTGAGAGGTGCGCCGAAATGGAGGTGGAACTGCATGCGGACCCTGCCACTGGGGCCTTTGCTGGAGCTCCCTATGGAGCCACGAAACGCTGTAATAGTTGGGTGAAACGCAGGGAGGAGGGAGGAGAGGGAGGAGGAGGGAGGAGGAGGGAGGAGGGGGAGGGTGGAGGGGGCAGCGGGAGGGAGGTGGGAACGCGGGGCGCTGTCTCTTCAAAACGAGGACCCAACACCACAGGATGGTTGGGAAAAAGATTCGAGGACAGGCCGAAGGCATTCCGCAGCCATCACCGAAATCGTACGATCGTGGTGGGGCACACTGTCACCATGCAAGCCGTGAGAAGGGGGCCGATTCTGTCCTTCCGCATTCGTATGTGCTCACAAGCGCCATCCCAGGCAAAGCCGCGATACACCTGCGCTGCCCTGGATAATCGCTGCAGCGCTAGAGGACCACACACGTCCAGATGTCAAGCCCGAAGACCGCCACCCCCTCAGGCCTCAATAGACCGCATGGCCCAATAAGGCTCCAAGGTGACCCTAAGATATTCCCAGATGGTCCCCACATGGGCCCCCAGAGGATCCACGGAATCCCCTGATTATTGCCCTAGATGGCCCGAGCGTTACCCATGACCCCCCACGATGCCCAAGACGCCGAACAAAGCCCCGAATCGAAATCGAAATCGAACGAGGTCTCCCAGCACCCGCCAAGGACCTCCCAGGACCTGGCAGACCCCCCCCGGACGCGTCAGGACCACCCAGGATCTCCCTCTCGTAATCGTCGTCGTCGTCGTCGTCGATGTCGTCATCGTCGTCGTCGTCGTCGTCGTCGTGCCCCCCTCCTGGCGGGGGGGCCCCTCACGGCAGGGATCCCAGAGGGTGCCCCCCTACTGGAGGGGCGCGCGGCGGAACGAGGCGGCTTACCTTCCCTGGCCTCTCCTCCCCCAAACTCTCCAAGAATCTACCTCCTCCAGCCTCTCCGCTCTTCTACCTCCTCCTCCTCCTCCTCCTCCTCCTCCTCCTCCTTCTCCTCCTCCTCGTCCTCCTCCTCCTTCTCCTCCTCCTCATCATTATCCTCTTCCTCCTCCTCCTCCTCCTCCTCCTCCTCCTTCTCCTCCTCCTTCTGGTTCCAGATGGCAAGAGTATTCTCCGAACGCTGCCCTTTTCCTCCTCCTCCTCCTCCTCCTCCTCCTCCTCCTCCTACTCCTCCTCCTCCTCCTTCTCCTCCTCCTCCTCCTACCTCAACCTGCCTCTCATCCCTCCTACATTCCTTACACGTTCGCACGAAGCATCGGAGTCCGAACCAGAATCGATTGGAACCGGGAACACTGGATCGAAGACGGAATCGGCATCCGCGCACCAGACCAAAATCGGAATCGGAAGACCTAAATCGCAGCGGACTGGAACCAGAATCGGTAAGGGCGCATCGGAATCGGATCGGACCCGATCGGAACCGGGCCTGCCGCGGCGAGCAAGCCCTCTCTCCTCCGGCCTGCCGCACCACCAGACGTGTCGGCAGAGCAGGCCGGGCGTGTCGCCTGAGAATTCCCTCCCCACTCAAGACCAAGAAGCTACAAAGATGGAGGGCGTAGATCTCTCGTGCCGCGCACACTCGTCTCTTGAGGTCGCAAGCATGGCGAGGATGGATGGCGGTTCGTTTTCGAAGCGGGGTTCTAACTTTCGAGCCGCGGGCATTCGTTTCAAAATCGTGCAACGGTTGCAGGGGGTGGAGGGTGGTTCGTCATTCCAATTGGGCTCTCGCTTTAGCGCCGCGCAGAATCGCAGCAAACACCTGCAACAGCTGCAATGAAGGGTAATACCTTTTACAAAACGGTACTGTCGCTTCAGAGATCTTCACACGTGGCGACCAGAAGAGGGAAAGAAGGCGGGCGTTCTTCAAAACGGGGCTCTCGCTTGAGACCCACTCGAACTGCATGCCCAGAACTGCAGACGTGTGACGCAATTGGCACGGAGGGGGGCGGCTCTCCTTTTCAAACCTGGGCCTCTCCCTGGACACCTCACTGGACGAGGAGGAGGAGTTGGAGGAGGAGGAGGAGTTGGAAGAGGAGGAGGAGGAAGATGAGGAGGAGGAGGAGGAAGAGGAGGAGGAGGAGGAAGAGGAGGAGGAGGAGGAGAGAGGAGAGAGGAGAGGGGAGAGAGGAGAGAGGAGAAGGGAGAGAGGAACGAGGAGAGAGGAGAGAGGAGAGAGGAGAGAGGAGAGAGCCAGGGCTCCTGCATGGCAGGCCCGGAGGGCTCCTTGGAGTGAAAGAGAATGCTTAAGGGACTTGTGAGGCGGGGTTTGGGGCGGGAGAGCGTGCTGCGGCATCGGCTGATGCCTCCTGGCTCTGCTGTGGTTATCATCCCTCCTCACCCTCCTCCTCCTCCCTCCTCCTCCCTCCTCCTCCTCCTCCTCCTCCTCCTCCTCCTCCTCCTCCTCCTCCTCCTCCCTCCTGCTCCTCCTCCTCCTCCTCCTCCTCTTCCTGCTCTGCCCTCCTCCTCCTGCTCCCTCCTGCTCTCCAACTCCTGCTCTCCTCATCCCCTCCTCCTCCTCCTCCTCCTCCTCCTCCTCCTCCTCCTCCTGCTTTCCTGCTCCTGCTCCTCCTTCTGCTCCTTCCCCTCCTCCTCTTCCTCCTCGTCCCCGTCCTCGTCCATCTTCCTCCTCCTCCTCCTTCTCCTCCTCCTCCTCCTCCTCCTCCTCCTCCTCCTGCTCGTCCTTCTCCTCCTCCTCCTCCTCCTCCTCCTCCTCCTCCTCCTCCTCCACCTCCTTTTCCTCCCTTCTCCTCCCTCCCTGCCTCCCACGTCCCACCCCGCCCCGCTCAGCGGCACGGGAAAGGCGGCCTCTAGCTCGCTGGGCATCCATCTCCCTGGCTGCTGCCCCTGAACAGCCGGCGCCGCCGTGGGCTCAGGAGGAGGGAGCCCGGCGACGAGAGGATAGGAGGAGAAGGAAGAGGAAGGGCAGAGCTCGACGTAAACGGTGTTTCCCGTGATCGTGTTGGCTTCGTTCTCCACTCGTCTTCTCATCTTGTTTCTGCCGCTGCTGCAAAACATAATCAAAAAGAAAACGGTCCACGAGATCGCTAAAGCACCGTTTAGGTCGAGCCCTGAGGAAGGGACGCTGGAGAAGGAGGTGGAGGAGGCAGACGAGGGAGGGGAGGGACAGGGGAGGAGGAGGAGGACGACGGGGAAGAGGAAGAAAAGATAGGAGGAGGTGGAGGAGGAGGAGGAAGAGAAGGAAGAGGAGGAGGAGGAGAACGAACGAACAGACCAACCAACATAAAAAAATGCGCGAAGCCTCCCCGGGAAGGGACGGGGCACCTGGCGGTCTGCTCGGGGGTGGACGTGGACCCCGCATGTGCAGATACAGGTCTTTGATTCTGGGAGCCTGGGAGTCTAGGCTGGCCGGCCTCGCCATCGCCCCGAACGGGGGCGAGGTCCTGGCAGAGAGAGAAAGAGAGAAAAGCGACGACCACCGACACAACGACGGCACACTGAAACAAACATCTATACACATACATATATATACAATATATACGTATGCACATACATCCATATACACGCAGCAGGTTCGCGTCGTGTCGACCCCAACGCTGGTTCCTGCCACCGCGGGGATGATTCAAACTTGAACGATCGGCCTTTAGGTGAACGCCGGATCGTGCAACGACGGGCCAATTCTGGGCCGCGGGCGGAGTTCAACCTTGAACGCACGCGATGGGGTCGCTGCCGGTCGGCGCGACGCAAACCTGCCGTGTATATGTGTATATGAATATGTTGTGATAGATGTTGAAGGGAAAATGGGGATGACCATCCTGGCGAAAAAAACAGTTGCATGCAGCTGCGAATACAGCAAGGCAGAAAACAGGAGGTAGGGTGCGAACGAGAGGACTGGGACGTGGATGAAGGTGGACGACGAATACTGGACTTGCAGGAGGAGGGCAGGAATCATAAGCGGGGTAGAAAACGGTAGAACTCCCCAAAGGAATCGCTACACGTGTAATGGATGTGCCCAAATGGGCGCGGCAACTCCATGCGGACTCTGACATGGGGCCGTTTTGCCACGGGGCATCGGAACGGCGAGGGGAATACCGAAATGGACGCGGTAGCATGCGGGCCCTGCCACCGGGGCCTGCGGTGGAGCTCGGTACGACGCCACGAAAAGCGTGGGAGGCTTGCCGAAACGAGCGCGGCAGCGTGCGAAACCTGCCATCGGCAAAGATAAACAAAAAAAAAGGCCCTGGATGCAGCCAAAGAGGGGGCTCCAAGAGCACTTTCGGGGATGCCCGAAAAAAAAACAAAAATGATTGCTTGCCATGTGTGTTCAACGTGTTTCGCGATCCCCGGGCATCCAACAGCCCAATCCGGCTCCAAAAGCCTTCAAGGAAGGAGCATGTGGGAGCATGTCGCTAACCGCACACGCGGCTTCAATCGCAAACCAGTCAGGGTACAGGGGGGTGGCCACGTCGCCGGCGACTCGCAACCTGAGCGTGATATGGGAGGAGGAGGAGGAAGGGAGGGAGGAGGGAGGGAGGAGGGAGGAAAGAGGGAGGGAAGAGGGAGGGAGGGCGGGGACGGGTGGGGAGGGAAGGGAGCGGAGGGATGAAGAGGCGGCGTGGGTCTCCCAGCCACGGGGACGAGAGCGGATCTGATCGCCGAGCGTCTCGGGCAAAGCGGCGCCACGGGCCATCCAAAAGAGCCATCTCTCTCGCCAGCCCAAGGCCGCACCTCGCCCCCATCCGTTGGCGAAAATAGGAATGAGGGGGGGAAGGATGCGAGGCAGGGGAGGCGAGAGGGGGATAGATACAGGGACAGAACTGGAGGGAAGGAACGCAGGAAGGAGGAGGGGAAAGAGGCGAGGATGGGGAGATGCGGCTGAGAACCTAGAAGCGGAAACCAGACGACGACGAGGGCGACGACAAGAACGAGAGAGCGAGGGAGCAGGAAGGGGTTGTCCAGCGAACACATATACAATTAAACACAGCAAAACTGCACCTAGTTGCGGGGACCAGGGGTGGCAATCATAATTAGATTTGGCGCGTCGGTCGGTCTGGGTGGACGGACACCGCCTCGCGACCCACGATGGAAAGGGATGGTCGTGCCGAGGACGTTACGTGCGAAGCGTGGAAGCGATCACCATATTTCACGGCGAGGTTTGGCGGCAGCCGCAAGAAAAATCATCACACGAACAAGCGCTTCACCCGCGGACAAGGAGTCTGGCACGGAGAAGAGCTCGAATGCGCGGGGGATCGGATCGCGGATTTGCTGCTGGGGCACAGGCGGAGGAGGGAAGCGGGCTGCGCGAGGTCGAAGCCTACAGGCATATGGATGGTTTCGCTGAACCAGGGGATGTGGGATGTCGGTGGGAAGCGGCCCATGGGACGGGGCCTCGGCGATGGGCAGCGCGGGCAGCCGATGTTTCGCGAAAAGGAGACACGCACAGAACGGCACTTAGCGGCCAGGGCGCGGCACACGTTGGGAGCGCGAGTGGCGGCACCCGACATGCACCCCGCCCCGTTGGCTAAGTGTAATTCTATAAGTGCTCCGTTGTGTGTGGATGTTTCCGGCGAAACCAGCACGCACAGAACTACACCTAGTGTCTGGCCACATGTAGTTCTGAACGTGCTGGATGTCTCGCGCGGGGAGAGCACGCACAGACCGGCACCTAGCGAAACGGACGGGGTACAAGTCGGGTGCGTCGCCGCGCCCCGTCCGCAGAGTCAGGAAGGCAAGGGCCGCTGAACCCCCTGCCTGCCTCCAGGCGGAGGTCTCTGAACGTCCCAGGGCTACCCGAAGGAATTCCAACTGCGGCCTCCGCCCAAATCGCTCCCCCTATCAGAGCATCTCGCCTGGTCACTATGTTCCCCATTACCGCCCGCTGCGTTGCCCTCCCCCTCTCTCGTTTTTCCTCTACCTGCCGCCCTCCAGTTCCCTGAGCATTTCCCAATTGCCCCTGGCCCCTGCGTGGCGGCACACGCCCGCGCCCCCCTGCAGCTGAAAGACTCACCTTGCACTCATCCTCCAATCCACTCGTGAGGCGCAAGTCTAGATTCCACACTGACACTGGCAAGCGACGTCGAGGTCCCGGCAAATCCGACAGGCGCGATCGGCCCCCTCGAATGGCGGGCGAACCAATACGTAAGATGATGTCACACAAGTAAATTCGGAATTTTGGGATCCGCGCAAGAAGCTAATCCACTCGCCCAAAGTGTAGTTATGTGCCTGTCCGACTCCGAGAAGATTTGGCTGGCCGTGTCAACAACCCCCGCCCCAGAGGTCAAATCTGGACGTGGACGCGATGGACGACAAAGTTCACCTCAAACACACGCGATCGGTCCCTCGGCCGGCTCACGAGGATGCTTCTTCTGGCAGGGATGGATGTGTGAAGTTAGGATAGAACGCAGAAAATCCACCCCCAAAACAACCACCCCGACACGCAAAGCCTTGTAGCAAACGCACCCACAGAAGGAATCGAACAGGGCAGGGCTGTTCAGCAAACGCCGAGGGCCGTTCAGTAAACGCCAGGTACCGGGTCTGGGTGCTTGTTTCCTCCCTGGATAGGGGGAGGATACGTCCAAAAAGAGGAGGGAGAGAAAAAGACATGGTACCAAGACCACCGACGACTCAATTTGCTCGAGTCGACAGCCCCCCCCCCGACCAGTTCGTCGCCCCGCGGTTTGGCAGTATCGCCCCAGGGTGATCGCCCCAGGACCCGCAGACCGCACCCCACAAGCCACGAAGTCGTAAACAAACATCACAGCGGAGGGCAGTCCACAGGAAAACCTTCCACAAGAAACCCAACCCTGAGACCCCAGGACGTCCATTGATTCCTGGTGGGGGAACGCCGCGCTTTCCAGTGCGAAACCATCAAGACCCAAGAAACCCAGGGCACCCTGGAAAAAAAGGAAAAAAAAAGCAAAAGAAAAAAAAAAAAAGGAAATCAAAAAAAAAAAAAAAAAAAAAGGCAAGCAGGGTGCTTCTTTGGCATGGTCGTCGCGCTGTAACGTGCAAGTGCACGGTTTTCCCCCGGGGGCCGTAGGCGATCCGGCGATCACGAGGAAGAGGAGGAGGAGGAGGTGGAGGGGAGGAGGAGGTAGGATATGGAAGAATTGGGTGAGGAGGAGGCGTGGAGGAGGAGGAGGAGGGAGGAGGAAGGAGGAGGAGGAGGGAGGAGGAGGAGGGAGGAAAAGCAGTGCAAAGTCATGTGTCAATGCCAAGCAAGGCAAAAGCAAAGCAGAACCGCGCAATGCCAAGCGGTGCAAAGCCATGCAAAGCAATCCCACGCAGTGCCAAGTGGTGCCCAGCAATGGCAAGCAAGGCGACGCAGGGCAAGTCAAAAAAAACAATGCCAGGCACTCTACTCATCCTTGACCCTCCTCTTGCTCCTCCACCTCTTTGAACTCTATCCTTCATCCCCCGCCCTCCTCCTCACCTTGTCCTCCCCCCCTCACCTTGACCCATACCTCCTCCTCCTTCTCCTCCTTCTCCTCCTCCTCCTCCTGCTCCTCACCGTTATCATCATCATCGACACCACATCGAAAACGTCCTCGATTACAAGACTTGAACAATGCACATCATCATCAACAGCTGCATCATCACCATCATCATCATCACCACCACCACCACCATCATCATCATCATCATCAGCATCATCATCATCATCATCGTCATCATCATCATCTTCATCATCATCAGCAGCATCATCATCAGCAGTATCATCATCATCATCATCATCATCATCATCATCATCATCATCATCATCATCATCATCATCATCATCATCATCATCATCATCATCATCGGTGTCATCATCACCATCATCATCATTATCATCAGCATCATCATCACCATCGCCATCATCACCACAACCACTATCAGCACCATCATCAGCAGCATCAGCATCGTTATTATCATCAGTATCATCCTGTTCATCATCATCATCATCCTCATCAGCATCATCATCCCCGTCCACATCATCAGCAGCATCAGTATCATCTGCATCAACACCATCATCATCATCCTCGTCAGCAGCCTTATCATCAGCATCGTTATAAGCATCATGATCCTCAGCATCGTCCTCATCCTGCGAATCCTTATCGTCATCATCCTCATCCTCAGCATCAAGCTCAACAGCGTCAGTATCAGCATCACCAGCGTCCTCAGCATCATCATCAGCATCATGAGAATCGTCCTCATGATCCTCCTCCTCCTTCTCCTCCTCCTTCTCCTGATCCTCCTCCTCCTCCTTCTCCTCCTCTTCATCATCAACAGACTCACCAGCGTCAACAAAATCGTCATCAGCAGCAGCATCATCAACATCGCCATCACCATCATCGTCATCGACATCGTAATCGTCATCATCATCATCAGCATCAGCATTACCACTACAATCACAACCACCATCATCGCAACCATCAGCATCACCACCGTCATAGACATCATCATCATCATCAGCCGCAGCATCAAAATCATCATCATCATCAGCATCATCATCATCATCATCATCATCATCATGATCATCATCATCATCATCATCATCATCATCATCATCATCATCATCCTCATCATCCTAATCATCAGCAGCATCAGCATCGTCATCATCATCATCATCATCATCATCCTCATCATCCTAATCATCAGCAGCATCAGCATCGTCAGCATCATCATCATCATCATCATCATCATCATCATCATCATCATCATCATCATCATCATCATCATCATGGCCATCATCATCGTTAGCATCGTTATGATCAGCATCATGATCAGCATCATCAGCATCAGCAACATCGTCAGCATCAGCATCATCGGCACAATCGTCATCATCATCAGCATCATCAGCATGCTCAGCATCATCAGCAGCATCATAATCGTCAGCAGCATCATCATCACCAGCATCATTACCATCATCGTCAGCATCAGCATCATCATCATCATCATTGCAATCAGCATCAGCATCAGCATCAGCATCAGCATCAGCATCAGCATAATCATCATCAGCATCAGCATCAGCATCAGCATCAGCATCAGCATCAGCATCAGCATCATCATCATCATCATCATCATCATCATCATCATCATCATCATCATCACCTTCATCATCACCAGCATCGCTCCATGTCTGCCTCCCTCCCTCCCACCCTCCCTCCATCCCTCCCTCTCCGTCCTCTCTCCCCCCTTCCCACCCGCCCGCGACCCCGTGGCGTGGTCCTGCCCGTCGGCCCAGGCGCGGCCCGCGGAGCCGCTGCTGCTGCCGCTCCAGCCGCCTCCGCCCCAGCTCCAGCCGCCGCACCTGGCGCTCCAGCAGACGGGGGGGGGTCCGGAGGAGGGGGCAATGGGGAGCGTCGGCGGCAACGATAAGGACGAACAGCCTCCTCCTGCTCCTCCTGCTCCTCCTCCTCTTCTTGTTATTAGTCCTCGTCTTCTTCGTCTTCTTGGTCGTATTAGTATGTCTTCCTATGAGTCCTACTATCTTCTGTTCATCCATCGTATTATCATGTGTCTTATTCTCGTTCGTATGATTAGCATTCGTTGTATTATTCTTCTTCGTATTAGTAGTATTATTCGTCTTATTATTACTATTATTAATATTAGTTTTCGTAGTCTTCTTGTTCGTAGTAGTGTTGTTATTATCAGTATGATTATTCGTCGTATTCGTCTTAGTATTCGTGTTCGTTTTCTTGTTCGTAGTCGTTTTCGTCTTCGCCGTCGTCTGCGTCGTTTCTTCTTAGTAATACTCTTCTTCGCATTAGTAGTCATATTAGGATTCGTCTTCGCCTTCGCATTCGGATTATTATTATGCTGTTGTTTCTGCTTCTGCTTGTGCATCTGCTTATGTTTCTGCTTATGTTTCTGAGTATGCTTATGGTTCTGCGTCTGCGTCTGCTTCTGCGTCTGCTTCTGCGTCTGTTGCTGCTAATGTTGTATTGTTGCCAGTAGTAATAGTATACGCGTATCAGTATCACTAGCATCCTTATTCCTCCTCCTCCGACGACGACGACGACGACGCCTCCTCCGCCTCATCCTCTTGCTCCTTCTCCTCATCCTCCTCCGCCTCCTCTTCCTCATTATTATCCTGCTCATCATCTCCCTCCTCCTCCTCCTCCTCCTCCTCACCCTCCTCCCTCCTCCTCCTCCTCTTCCTCATCCTCCTCCTCCTCATCCTCGTCCTCCTCGTCCTCTTCCTCCTCCACCCCCTCCTCCCGAACCTCCTCCTCCTCCTCCGCCTCCTCCTCTTACAACTTCTCCTCATCCTCCTCCACCTCCTCTTCCTCATTATTATCACACCCCACCCCTGCTCCCACCCCCCCCCCATCATCTCCCTCCTCCTCCTCCTCCTCCCCTCCTCCCTCCTCCTCTTCCTCATCCTCCTCCTCCTCACCTGCGGCCTCCTCGTCCTCCTCCCTCCTCACACCCTCCTCCCGAACCCCTCCTCCTGTCCTCCTCCTCCTCCTCCTCCCGCCTCCTCCTCCTGCGCCTCCTCCGTCTCCTCCGCCTCCTCCGCCTCCTCCTCCTCCGCCTCCTCCTTCTCCGCCTCCTCCTTCTCCTCCTCGTCCTCCTCCTCCTCGTCCTCCTCGTCCTCTTCGTCCTCCTCGTCCTCCTCGTCCTCCTCGTCCTTCTCGTCTTCCTGTCCTCCTCCTCATTCTCCGTCCTCCTCCTCCTCATGTTCTTCTTCTCGTTGGCTCTCAGTATCATGATTCGGATTAGTCTATTTGTAGTATCAGTACTCGTCTTCGTAATCGTATGAGTGTTCACATGATTGTTGTTAGTATACCTATGACTTATATGACTCATATTACTATTCGTATTCCTAGTAGTCGAATTAGTGATCGTATTCTTCTTAGTGTGCTTCATGTTAGTGGTGGTATGATTCGTATGATTCGTATTGTGATGTGTCGATGCTCTTACGATGTGCTCTCATTATGGTTAGTACGATTAGTCGTGCTATTCATCCTCATCCTCCACCTCCTCATCTGATTCGTAGTGTTAGTAGTAGTCGTCTTCGTTGTATAATTATCCGTCACCTCAGTAGTGGTATGATTGTTATCGTCCGTATTAGTAGTAGTCACGTTGTTCATATTCTTCATATTGTCATTATATGTATGCGTATGATTAGTATGAGTATGAATCTCCCTCCTCCTCGTCATCCTCCGCCTCCCCCTCCTCCTCCTATTTACCCCTGTCGCACCCGAAGACCATGTTTAGGGCGGGTCGGGCGTTTCGCCTGAGACGTCCTTACCACTTATGACCATGAACCTTAAATAGTGGCAACAGCTTCACAGATGGAGGGCGGGCCGTTTTCACAATGCAGTTCTCGCCTTAGCGCCGCGCACATTCTTCTTCGAAATTTACAAGGGTTTCACGGACTGAGGGAGAGCCGTTGTCGAAATGTGGCTCTCGCCTTAGCGCCGCGCACATTCGGTTTCAAAAATTGCAAGGGTATCACGGATTGAAGGAGGCTCCGTGTCAACATGTGGCTCTCGCCTTCTTGCCGCGAACATCAATTGCCAAACGTTGCAAGAGTTCCATGGGTCCCAATGGTCAGCGTACCCAAAATGGTGTTGGGAGGACTCATAATTATGTGGGTGCAACAGTTAAGTTGGCTTGCGGTGTTGAAGTCCCAGGAATGGCTCTGGCACGCTTCAGGATCGTCAAGACGCAACAGCCAGGTTGATCCATGGCATTGGAACCACGAGAACAATGTCTTGGCATGATCAGGGTCTTCAAACGGTGTCTTCCAACGAAGCGCTCCCTCAGCGGAAATGAACCGCTGTAGGGGCTTATGAAGAGGGAGCTTGGAGGGAGGGTTTATTCCAACATCGTTGATGACTCTTGGGTTTACACTGGTCCGCCTCCTCCCCCTCCTCCTCCTCCGAGGACGCGGAAGAGGCAAAGGGAGGAAGGGAGATGAGCAGGGGGGTCGCAGGGGGGAGGTCGCGGGGGGAAGGTCGCAGGGGGGAGGTCGCAGGGGGAGGGGAAGGGGGAGCGTTGGCGGCGACGAGAAGGGCGAATGGCCCAGGGGTGGGCATTACACGCATTCGCCGGGCAGCGTCGCCATAGACACGGATCATCGCAGCGCCCCTGGCCACGTGAATATTGCACACACACCCCCCGAGCGATTCGCCCCTATCGTCGCCTCTGGGGGCGAAGAGGCTGGCTGCGCCTGACAAGGGCCGACGCGGCGGCGCGGCGGGAGCGGGGGGCAGGAACGGGCTCGGAGGCCTCCCCCTCCTCCTCCTCCTTCCTCCTCCTCCCCTCCTCCTCCTCCTCCTCCTCCTCCCCAACTCCTCCTCCTCCTCTCCTCCTCCTCCCCTCCTCACTACCTCCTCCTCCTCCTCCCTCCTCCTCTCCTCCTCCGCCTCCTCCGCCCCTCTTCCTCCTCCTCCTCCTCCTCCGCCTCTTCCTCCTCCTCCTCCTCCTCCTCTCCTCCTCCTCCTACGCGCGCCCTCCTTGCCTCCTCTTCCTCCTCCTCCGCCTCCTCCCTCCTCCTCCTCCTACTCCTTCTCCTCCTCCTCCTCTTCCTCCTCCTCCTCCTCCGCCTCCTCCTCCTCATCCGCCTCCTCCTCCACTCCATGGGTCGAGGCTCGAGGCGACCGCGGGCCCTCCGAGGAGGCGACGCGCCCGAGGAGGCCTCCGCCCGGGAGCGGCGGCGGGCAGCGGGCGGGGTCGCAGTGAGAGGGCAGGCGGAGCCGAGGCAGCAGCCGTCGGCGGTCGTGGTGGGGTCGCGGGGGGAGGAGCTTGCTGCAGCTGAGAGGCAACCACTGGCCGAGAAGGACTCCCCCTCCCCCTCCCTCCTCCCCTCCTCCTCCTCCTCCCCCCTCCTCCCCCCCTCGTCCTCCTCCTCCTACCTTCTCCTCCTCCTTCTCCTCCTTCTCCCCCCTCCTCCTCCTCCTCCTCCTAAATAAAAAATCAATACAAAAAAAACATCCCTCCTCCTCCTCCTCCTCCGCCTCCGCCTCCTCCTTTTCCTCCTTCTCCTCCTCCTCATCCTCCTCCTCCTTCCGGGAGCTACCTACGAACCTCGGAGCCCTCAGTGCGGCGTAGCGAAGTGCGCACCTCGAAGCCCAGGCGCCGCCGTGCCAGCCGCCGCCCCAGCCACCGCTCCAGCCGTCGTCCTGGCAGCGCCACGTCGGCTGCCAGGCCTCCTCGGCCATGTGCGCTAGACAGGTGGATCCGAGACAGCCCCAGACGCCTGGCGTCTCGCGAAAATCGACAGGGAGGTTTTTCCCAGAGGCCCCCAAGAGGGCCTTGCGAAGAGGCCCAAAAATCCCTTCCAGGAGGCCCCCGAGAGCATTCCGAAGAGACTCCAAGAAGCATCCTTGAGGACTCTGGCCCACGTCGTCGTCGTCGCCGCCGCCGCCGCCGTCGTCGGCCGTGAGGCCTTCGTAATCGAGACGGAGACTCTTCATAATTTTCGGCCTCTCGGGGCCCTTCCCGGGCCTTGGGGCCGTCAGACTCGACTCGGGATGAGAAACCCGTCCTGGGGAAGTTTTAGAAGGGACCTACCGTCCCGGCACTCCTACATGCCTGCCAAGAAATATCCCCAGAACCACCAAAAAATTCTGGGAACCGAAACAACCCTCTCAGAACATAAGCTTCTAAGAACATGTCGTGCATATCACAAAAGGTTATTAGAACACTCTGCGGTGGGCCTGTAGGCAAGCCAGGACGCATCGCCACTGCTCGAGAAGTGGTCGAGGGGTCGAACGCCCCGAAACGGCAAACAAAAAACGAAGTGACTTCCACATGGATGTTTCGTAGTCTTCCTTCATGACAAGCAAACCACAAAAAAAAACAACCAACCAAAAACACCGCACGAACATCGCCTCGAAATCCGGATCGCAGTTTTCCAGGACAGACCGGGACCACCCCGTTGCCTTCCTGACGAGATCCGCTCGGCGAGGTTGGCGCCATGGCGAGGGGCCGGGGGCCCGTGCCCCGAGAAAACCGAGACGCAGGACGTCTGGGACCGTACGACGGCCCTGCGCCCGCGGCAACCAACACGCCCGCGCCGCAGACGGCGGGGCCGCCCTGGCGCGGCTGGCGGCGAGGTCGCCGCCGCGGGGCCGCCAGGAAGGGGGAGCTGGTGAGGGGCACAACGATAGGGGTGGCCTGGCCCATGGGGGGGAAGCATCGTTCTGCAATCGGCGATGCACCGCCGACAAATCGGCGATGCCGTCAGCGCGCATCGTGAGGATGAAGTATGACAAGGAGGCAAGGGCCTTGTGGAGGGCCACGTCGACACCTCGCGAACGGGGGCGCGGCCGGCGCAAGCGGCCAAGAAGGGGCCGAAGGGGAAGGATGCAGGGGCAAGCATGGAAAAATACTTATCTTTACGATACGGGTTGACCTGTATGGGGCCTCCATTCAGTGGAGCCCAACCACAAGAAACCTTCCACAAGAAACCCAACCCTAAGACACCAGGGCGTGCACTGATTCTTGGTGTGGGAACGTCACGCCTCCCATCGCAAAACCATCGAACACACAAGAAATCAAGGGCACGCTGGAGGCAAGCAGGGTGTTTCCTGGCATGGGCCCCTACTGTAACGACGAACGAACGGGGGAGACCGAAAGGACCAATCAAAAAAAACGGAGGCAGGCTAGGCGAGCCCAGCTTGCAGCCGAGAACCGTGGTCACATGAACGCGCATCGAGAACAGCAGGGGCCCCTTGCAGCGGAGGCCCGTGCCAGGAGACACCCTGCTTGCCCTCAGGGGGCCCTGGGTTTTTCTTTGGTTTCGATGGTTTGGCCATGGAGAGCGCGACGCTCCCACCCCGGAGAGCAGTGGACGTCCCGGGGTCTCAGGGTTGACTTTCTTGTTGAAGGCTTCTTGTGGTCGGGCCTCCACTGCACGCAGAAGGACCGAGGCCTCGCGGAGACTCCCATGTGGAGGGGGGGGCCTGCGCCTCCACCACCACTACCTCCTCCTTCTCCTCCTCCTCCTCCTCCTCCTCCTCCTCCTCCTCCTCCTCCTTCCTCCTCCCTCCCTCCCCTCCTCCTCCTCCTCCTTCCTCCTCCTCCTCCTCCTCCCTCCTCCTCGCTCCTCCGCCTCCTCCTCCTCCTCCTCCTCCTCCTCCTCCCTCCCCTCCTCCTCCTCCTCCTCCTCCTCCTCCCGTCCATACCTCCTCCTCCTCTCCCCCTCCTCCTCCTCCTCGTCATAACCTCGCATACCTCCTCCTCCCTCCTCCTCCTCCTCCTCCTCCTCCTCCTCCTCCCTCCTCCTCCGCCTCTCCTCCTCCTCCTCCTCCTACCTCGGGGAGTAGCGGCCTGCCCTTGGCGATGCCTCGCCGACCGCTCGATGAACCAGGCCGCCGAGGACGAGAGCCGCCCGCTCCCTGGGCGGGGCGGGGCTGTCGGACCCCTGCGAGGCGCTGCGAGGGCAACTGCCGGGGGCGCGCAGACATGGACTAGCGACAGCAGAGGGAAACAATTGGTGAGCACCCCCCCTGCCCCCCAAACTCAAAGTTGGCACGCGCGGGGGAGTCTGCGGTCGAGGTGCAACTCATCAGACCCACCGCCAACTTTGAACAGTGTGGGGGGAAGGCGTTGACAGATGAATGTGGCATGAGTGTTCGCTATTTTGTTCCGAGGCCTGGATCATGCGGCCGGTGCCGCCTCGCTCAGCGGCGGGAATCCGCGACTTCCCATGGAAACAAGACCCGTCGCTAATCCACGCCCCCTTGATCCAGGTCTGCGATCGCCTGAGACTGGGGGTCGCGATGCGTTCCCCCCTGTCGGCGGCGAGCGAGGGGGGGAAACGAGAGGGAGAAGGCCTCCTCGGAGGGCGGCGGGACTCCTCGGAAGCTCTCGCGCGCCTTCGGAGAAGTTTCTCTCTGTCTTCGAGGGAGGGCTCAGGAAGCTCCTCAGAAACCCTCGCGCCTTCAGAAAAACGAGCCTCTTCTGTCGCCGGGGAAGGCTTAGGAAACTTCT